TTTTCTTTTATCTTGTATTTAGGTTTGGGATACAAGATAATAGCAGATGTCACCTCTAAGATGCTCACTCTTCTGGCTTTGAATTTCCCAAAACTTGACACATGCTTGATATCTGTCAGGTGTCCCAGACATTATATCAGAAGACAGGGGATGAATAGCTTGGAAGACAGTAAGGCTAGAAAGAGAGAGGAGGTCCCTCTAAACTGAGGGACCTAAAAGTCCTAAAGAGCCCTGGGTCCTAAAAGAGCCCTGCTCCCTTGCAGCCACCAAGGCAGATAGGGAAACCTCTGAGGGAGAAGGAAAGAATCTGTGTGATACATCTTTTCAGGCACTGGGAATCACCCCTCACCAAAGATTCCCCTGGTACAGAAGCAGCTACACTGCAACTCAGAAAGAACCATGCATATTAAGGTCAAAGCACAAGTGTGGTCCTCTCTCTGCCTGGAGGAACCAGTCTAGACAGAGGCAGGAAGACAGGGAGTTCCTCTAAGGCCTCAGCAATGTGTCAGGACACAGACCCTTTGATGAACCATGAGAAAGAGAAGCCCCCCAAATAACTGAGGTCAAATTTAAAACTAGACTTATGGCAGAAGTGGGGAGCAGGTTTTGAGCCAGATTTAAAATTATGTAAAAGAAATTTACTTCAAACCCACTACACATGAAAATCATTTACTGCAAGACCTGGCACATTGTATGCGTGCAGTAAGTGGTAGCCAATGTTATTAAAACCAGCTGCAAGGCAGTGGGAGCAGGCTGGACTGGATGCAAATAAAACTGAATTAAATAGACTATGTCAGGTGTTGGAAATATAAGACACAGACCTCCCATGTCCTTGAGGAGCAGTTAGTGTTAAAGGCAGACACACACAAATTAGTTGTGACACATAGCAGAATGTGCCAAATACCACAGTAAGAAAATGGGCCAAATATTGGGGTTGGGATTGGGAAAGCTTCACAAACAGTGATGTTTAATTGGGTCTGGGGAAGGATAGGTACAATCTTGATTGGTTAGTAAGGCAGGTCTGGCACAGAAAATAGTCTGTGCAAAGGCAGGAAGGAACCGATATCAATGGAAAGTGTTGTGTGACTTAATCATTGACTGTTTTCAGGGGAGCTATTAGAAATCAGATTAAAATGGCACACTGAGAACAGTTTCAGGAAGATCTTCACACTATAGGTAATGGGGCACCTGTAGGAATTTAAAACAGGAGGGCTCTCTGCTTCCTGGCTGTCATGAATCAATCATCTTTTCTCCACCACACCTTCCACCATGATGGTCTGCCTCATCTTAGGCCCAGAACCATGGAGTTGGCTGACCATGGACCGAACCTCTAAAACCAGATTCTCAATGCAGAAAGAAGAAAACAGGGGCTGGGATTGTGGCTCAGCGGTAGAGCGCTCGCCTCGCACGGGCGAGGGTTCGATTCTCAGCACCACATAAAAATAAAAGCATTGTGTCATGTCCATCCACACCTAAAAAATAAAGAAATATTAAAAAAAAAAGAAAAACACCTTCAGCTTAGGTGCCCTGGTGCTTAAGACATTTCCAGACCCAAAGGGCTTCCCAGCCTGAATACTGTTAATATTTGGGACCAGAAGAGGGGAAGATACAGAGATAGAGAAGAAGCCCATGGAATGAGGGAGGCAGAGACTGGAGTGATACAGTGACATGACAAGGAGCACCAAGGACAGCCGTAGTACCAGAAGCTAGGAAGGGGCAAGGAAGGACCCTCCCCTAGAGCCTGCAGAGGCCCTGCCCGCACCTTGGTTTTGGACTTCCAGCCTCTGGAACTGTGAGAGAATAAATTTCTGGAGTCTTCAGCTTTAAAAATAATTAACTGATTAAAAAACAGGAAGAAGAAGAAGAAGAAGAAAATAAAATAAAATATCCTGGGAGCTTTCAGAGAGGCAAGCAAAACAACAGATACATAAAAGAGTTTCAGGACTCTGAATATCCTTTGGCTTGTCAACACCAACGCTGGAAACTAAGACACCGTGCAGGAATGCCTTGGAAGTTCTGATGGAAATAGTTCCAACCTTGAATTTTATACATATGAGCTATTGGTTCAAGTGTGAAAGTAAAATAAATACAATTTCTGACATGCAAAGCATGAAGCTTGCCTCATGTACACTTTTTCTCAGGAAGCTAAAAAAGGATGTGTCACACTAAAATAAAAACCACCAAAAAGCAATCACTAAGTACAAGAAACAGAAAAGCCAGCACAGAGGGTAGGTAGACACTGTCAAGAATGGTGAAGGACAAACCAGGCCAATGGCAACTAATGACCACTAGTTGAGGTTGTTGTTCTCTTTTGGGGCAGGGTGAGGGGGTGTTGGATACTGAGCATTGAACCACTGAGCCACATCCCCAGCCATCGTTTGTTTGTTTGTTTGTTCTTTAGACATGATTTAATTAAGTTGCTTGAGGCCTTGCTGAGTTTCTGAAGCTGGCCTCAAACTTGCCATCCTCCTGCCTTAACCTCCAGAGTGAGTGGGATTATGGGCATGTGCCACTCTGCCTGGCAATTGTAGAGTTCTTGGAGATAAAAACACTCAGGGTCACTCCAGGGGAACTAGGCTACAAGAAATAACCACACAAGAGACAGAGATACTTTTTTCTTTGGGGGTCCTATGATGGCTCCTCTGACCTTAAGGGTCCGCAGAAAGAGAGCGAACGAGCATGTGCTGAACCCTTTTATTGAAGAGAAGCCATTCACATGAGGCTGAGTCTAGCTTCTGATGTCTGCTGTCAGCAGGTTGACTGACATCTAGGAAGCCCACACCCAAAGGCAGAGCAAGAGAAGGGGACACACCAAGGGCATTTCCATGGAACATTCTATCCCAAACAGGGCAAAGGGGTAATATCACAAAGGAACAGGTGAGCGCACTCAACCCATGGGGCTGCAGGAAGGCACGCCTGTGCATGAAGACACATTCTGCTACTTCGTGGATCGGGCAATCAATGTCCAGGTCACTACGAAAGTGACCGACAGAGCCTCTTCCGATCAAGGGAAGGAGAATGCCAGTCATTCAGTGAGACCGCCTCCCACAGGTAATTAGTTGAGACTGGATCAGAAAGAAGGTTCTGAACATTGTATCTGATCATAAAATTGGCAGGATGCCTAATGTGTCTGTGTTGTGAGGAAATTTGTCATTCATTAATGATAGGTACAGCTAGCACTAAGCAAAGAGAAAATCGGACAAGTATGAGCTCCAGGGAAAACAAAAAGCCACCTAGAGAAAGAAGAGCTGGCATAGTTTACCCTGCAATTTGCCTTACATGGTCATAGTAATATAAATAATGAACACTGACCTAGCCAAAATTACAATATAACTCTATTAAAGGGAGGGGATATGAGAAGGGGGCATGGGTGGTCTTTGAAGATTAAAAAAAAAAGTCGGGCTGGGGTTGTGGCCTCGCATGCGTGGGGCACTGGGTTCAAGCCTCAGCACCACATAAATAAATAAAATAAAGGTATTGTGTTCATCTACAACTAAAGTAATTATATTAAAAAACCCATATGTTCCCCTTCCATAGTGAAAAGAAATAAAACCTAATGCTGAAAAATCAAGATTTAGCAACTAAACATTTTATTTAGCGATAGGACTCAATACCAACTGCATCAATCCATTTCTCATTACTATAATGAAATGCCTGAGGCTAGCTACTTTAAAGGTTTTTTTAGCTTGTAGTTCTGGAGGTTCTAGGGCATGGCACTAGCACCAGCGGGGCACTTGATGAAGGCCTGAAGGCTACCACAATGGCAGGGGTGCCTGGGAGCAGGAGAGGTCACATGGCCAGACAGGAAGCCAGAGAGCTGTTTGGGAGTCAGGCTCCCTCTTTAGTAACAACTCCTTCTCACAGAACTAACTAGGGGTCCCAGGAGGACTGCTTTAATCCTTCTGAGGAGAGTCCCCAGTGGCCTAAGGACCTCCCACTAGGCCCCACCTCTTAAAGGTCCCCCTGCCTCAACATCACCACACTCAAGACTGAAATCCCAACAACATGAACCTCGGCTGAAAAACCACCCTCAACCACAGCGCCAACAGAATCTGTTCAAACAGCGGAAAGCTGTTGCCTTTGAGGATGAGGAGGGAGGAGAGGGGACTGAAGGCTGATTTTTGTAGCAAGTCTGTAGAACTCCTTGACTCTTAAACTATGCACAGAATATAACTGTTAAAAATTAAAATTGAAGACGTTTGGAAGAGGAATCTGGGGGCAGCCCAGGCAGAACACTCAGAGGACCCTGGGTGGAGCTGGGTTATGGAACAGAGAGGAGAGTCAACTTCTCATTAGATGGGACAGATGACATATTTAATATCTGTAGGAGGGAACCCCTGTGAAGAGGGGGAGATTGACTATATGGAAGAGAAGGTAAGTGTTAAACATCTATTCTCAGAGACTGAAGAGAGTCAACTCATGAACGAGAACATTTTTTTTTAAATAAAGGACTATTTACCTTGAAACTAGAAGGGGAAAAATGTGACCATAAGACACTTAATTTAAAAAAAATATATATGGTGCTGGGGATTGAACCCAGGAGAGAGTTCTACCACTGAGCTACATATCCCACCCCACCCTTTATTTATTTAGAGATGGAGTCTCATTAAATTGCTATTCTTGAATTTGTAATCCTCCTGCCTCAGATTCCCAAATAGCTGTAATTATAGGTGTGGGCCACTACACCCCAATAAATAACATACAACCCTTTTTTTGATACTGGGGATTGAACCCGGGGGCACTTTACCACTGAGCTATATCTCCAGCCCTTTTAATTTTCTATTTTGAGACAGGGTCTTGCTAAGTAACTGAGGGTCTTGCTAAATTGCCAAGGCAGGCCTTGAACTTGCAATCCTCTTGCCTCAGCCTCCCAAGTCACTAGGATTACAGGTGTGCACCACTGTATCCTCAAAAACTTTGAACTGTTTCTAGAAATTTTGAATGGTTCAAAGTGTTCTGGGTAATATGTGCATAGTGAAAAAAAAATCATACACCTTTGATCAAAAGACATTTTAATGACTTTATTAAGCCTTAGGATAGTCGAGAGAACAACTCTCCAAAGATGCATGAACTTCCCAAGCAAAAGACCAGCAGAGATCGGGAAATGCTGGGAGAGACGTCTGGTGTCTCTGACAACCAGCCAATTCTTTCTCTGAGGACGACCTGTTATCTCTGAGGTGGGGGCTCAGCAGGCACATTTGTACTGTGGGATCTTGTCCCCTGCTCTAAATCCACTGGACTGGGTGTACATCTACCCCAAGTTTGGCCGGTCATTTACTTTTCTAAGAATTTGCAATTGTGACTGGGAGACACAGTCTGTGTGGGTGGTGACAGCTGAGGTGACAAACCCAAGTGTGAAAGTGTGAATGTGTCAGCTGAAGGGACAGTCAGTCCACACACAGAGAGAGAGGAATGTGACTTAAGTGCAGACCATGTGGCTCAGTGAGAGTGTAAGATGGGCTGCTCCAGGTTCTGCTGGCTTTTCGGTTCTGAGTTCTGTTCCCATGAGTCCTGGTAAACCCACCCTTGGGTTCTGAGCACCACCCCTGTGTCTCTAATTGCATGTGATCATTTTAAGAGGGCTTTTGTTACTGGCAAACAAAATCCTTGACTAAGACAATCTTTGCCCACCAGGGTCTTCTGGTTCATGATTTCTCCCAAAATTATTCTCTTTTAAGAAGCCCATCATATCCTCATCAGCGCTTGGTTTCTTTGTTTTCTAGGACCAAATACTCATAGTTCAAACCCCCATCTTGCCTCTTGGACTTGTATCTTGATCAAATATGGTACCCCAACAGACCTAGGTTCTCCAGATAGCTTTCCTGGCCCAACTCAGACCTCAGGATCCCCCTCCAGTGACTCCTAGTAACACCAGACTGTCAGGGTGTCCCATGTACCACCTACAGCCTAGGTCCAGGAAGGCTGCATGAGAATCATCTGTAGAATGTTAAATTAGAGTCCCTGTCACTGCTCCTCCATCCCTGAGACGCTAATCCAGTAGGTCTGGGTGACACCTGTACTTTTTAAAGATTCTTAAGTGCATTCTAGTTTGAAAACCACTAATCGTGACGCTTAATTGGTACTGGACACAAACTACCTTGTAGGGTTATTTATCTCTTTGTTTTTCTAATTTTGTGCACTGTTAAATGAAATCTCCTGGGCACATGTTTAGGAAGCGCTCAGATGGATCTCTTCCCCTCTTACTAAATAAGTTCTGTCCCCTGCCAAATATGACTGACTCCACTGAGAAAAGTGGCCATCGAATCTTTTTCTTTTTAGTTGTAGATGGGCACAATACCTGTATTTCATTTATTTTCATGTGGTGCTGAGGATTGAACCCAGTGCCTCACCTGTGCTAGGCAAGCGCTCTGCCACTGAGCCACAACCCCGACTCTCTAAGTTTTGCATGCTTCTTTGTCATGCCTGAGGCTATAGGGAATGTAGAAAAAGGACATGACGTCGTAGACCATAGTTGCACACCATGGCCTCTTCACACAGAGGACGGCCAGACAGGTAGAAGCCCCAGGAACCTTTCCTCTCCCAGTGCCCTTCAGGACTGACGTTTTTGAGGGCCTTGCAATGCACAGGATACTCTGTATCCCTCTCAGGGAAATCTGAATTCAGGAGGCGAATTTCATGAAGTCCTTGTGGAATGCCCCAAGGGAGCAAGACACAGCTGGACCAGACAGAATGACTATCCCCAATATGTCCTCACTCAGACTCACTCTTCAGGTCCCAGTGTCCCTCAAACCCTGGGAGTACTGGCCAAGATCTGGTAAAAAGAATAAGGGCAAACACCACTGAAGAATTTGGTGCTGCTAGTCAGAGCTTTGGGCAGAGCAAGGTATGTGTTTGTGTTGGAGTAGGAAGGGGAGCTGGCTGTGCCCCACAGGTGTAAGTGCTGAGGTCAGAAAGGAGGGGACCTCAGGGACAGAGGTTGATGCCATTTAGGGGACATGCTTCGTAGGCTGTGGCGCTAAGGATACAAAAGCTGTCAGAAATCTGCAAGGAATCCATACGTTGTCTCCCACAGTCTGTCTCAGAAGGGTTGTTACCTAAAGTAGCAAACACCACGTGACCAAGGCTGTTCAAGCTCACCATTCTAGGATCCTCTATTTGGGTGCCCACCTCCCCCAAACTCCACTCCCTCACTGCCCTTCTGCTATTCTTGTCCACTCTTGTCTCTAACACCCTTTCCTCCCAACAGAGACCTCACTCTCCACCTCTATCCCATAACTGCCCTGCCCCCACCCCCAGACTTCAGACGTTTCTGCACCTGGGGGCACTGGACATGCATGTCCCTGTGATGATGAGGATGGTGCCCATGAGGAAGCCCATCAGGCCAATGGCCAGGCCCATGGCACAAATCAGGGTCTCTGTGGTGTCTGGTGGTGGGACAGGCACCTGGGGCTCTGGGAGAGAAAGGAAGGGTCAGGGGGCACAGCAGGGGGATTCTGTCATGAAGGAAACACAGGCCTGAGCAGGGGGCTGGAGGGGAGCTCCGTACCCCAGTGCGTGAGGAGCGGCTCCTGCAGGCCCCAGTGCTCCACCTTGCAGTCGTAGAAGTCATCTGCTGAGGGCACAAAGGTCAGGTAAGAGAACTTGCGGAACAAGTGGTCGGGCTGGGCATAGAAGCTGGTCTGGGCCGCTCCCTCGGTGATGGTCTGACCGTTGCGCAGCCAGGTGACGTTGATCACAGGAGGGAAGATGTTGTCCACGATGCAGATGAGGATGTTGGGCTCACCCAGCTCCACTCGAGACTTGGGGAGGACAGTCACCCTTGGAGGCACTAGGAGGAACGAATCCCTGAATCTCAGAGGTTCATCCCTTACAATGGGGCCTTGTTAGGACTAGGATAAGGGACACTTCATCCTACTTAGACACCTGCAGGCAGGGGGCGCTCGGGGATGGTAACCAGTGGAGCAGAGGGGAGAAGAACAGGGGGAGAGGAGGCTGGGGACGGGGAGGAGGCTGGGGACAGGGAGGGGGCTGACTGAGAGGTCTGAGAAGACCTAGAGCTTCTAGGGAAAGAAGGGGACTGACTGGTTGAGAGAACTTGTGCCAGAGGGAGGGAGGCCAGGGAATGGGAAAAAGCTTCTCTGGGCCCCTCCTGCTTGGCTGGATTGGGGGAGGGGGGCAGGTACCGCTGGTGGCTCTGGTGCGGTTGGAGCGTTCCACCAGGATATCCAGATGGGCTCTGATTATGGCGATGCTGGCCAGTCCGTTCTGTGGGTCAAAGTGCGTGAAATCGCCAAACTCAGGCAGTCGCCATGCAACCTCCCCATTCTTCAGGTCCACAGAGAACAGTTGGTCTCCATCAAATTCATGGGTAAACTGGCCCGAGGCACCATAAGACTGGAAGAAGGCTGGTCCATAGGAGCCCATGTGGTCAGCTGTATTGGGTAAGGGCAGGGCCAGGAGAAAGGAGAAAAGGTGTCAGCCTCATCCATGATATGTAATGTGTGGAGTCTCAGCCTGAGCCCCATCCTGGGTCAAGTGTGGGGACAGAGTTCTGTTCTGACAGTGAGCTGGCCCTGGGGGAGTGGAAGGGCTGCAGAAGGACAGAAGAAAGAGAGGATGCTCATGCCCTGCACACCACGGGTACATTCTGGCAGAGCAGCCTAGGAAGAGGTGAAGCTGCCTAAGATGGTGCTTAGATTTTCTCAAGTTAAAAGTCTCAGCCATAGTCATTTGCTCTGGTTATGCCGTCAGGTCCTGTGTGTGAGTGTGTGAGACGGTGAGTTGGGGTGGAAATGATTAAGGACAGGAGCATAAATGGGGCTCTCACTACAGAGGTGTAGTGTAGATGGGGTTGGGGGGAAATGGGCACTGACTGGCAGGAGCAAGAATTACACAGAGACCAGGGGGATCCATAAAGGCAGCCCCAGACATTGCAAAGAGCACTGGACAGGAGCTCAAGGTTCATGTCCCAACTCTGCCATCTCAGAGAAGAAAGGCTGAACACATCTTGTCCTATAACTAAGTGCATAGTTTCCTGGAAATTAGGGGACGGGTCTTAATTGGTAAGGTTCCTTTAGAACTCTGCAGTTATTTGTTGAGCACTGAAGGAACACTGTGTGCCCAGCACAAAGCCAGGCCAAGGAAATAAAAAAGACAAGCCAGCTGTGGACGTGCACACCGAGAGCGCACGTCTAGACACTGTGAGTGTTAAATGCTGCAATGCAGCTGGACTGGAGTGGACACACTCCAAGTCAGGAAGTGGTAGAGAAGCCAGGGTGCTGGACAGCAGGGGGGTGGAGCTTAGGGTCTCAGAAAGGAGGAAGGAATGGGGAGGAATCTGAATGAGAGAAAAGCCATAGAGGTAGGAGGAACTTGGGGTGGAGGATCGGGGATTTCTAAGTGGAAGAAGTGGCCCACAAACCAGAGAGTGACAGGAACATGCATCCTCTATGCTGTATCCCTAAATCTCTTCTGTTCCCCTGGGGCCCTCAGCACTCACCCTTGATGGCCCCTGATTTATGGGGACAGAGGAGGGTCATCAGGGTGTGCAGTCCCAGGACCAGCCCAGCACGGAGGGCCATTGCCCTCTGGGGTTTTGACCAAGTAAGCCGAGGTCTGTGGGAAATACAGGAATGAGATGGAGGCGAAGAAGAAGAGGAGTCTTAGTTAGCGGGAGACCCTTGCTATCTGCAGCCAATCAGAGCTGTTACCTGAGGTAATGTAGCTGTTGCTGGGTAAAGAAGTGAAAAGCCGGGGAGAGAAGGTAGAGGAAGTCACTGGGCCCCTGGGCCCGAGGCTGGTCCACAGGGGAGTTGAGAGGAAGTTGTTGCTTTGGAGGACGAAAGGCCTTGATCCACTACCTCCCCCAAGGAAGAATGTGTAATGGCTTCATCTGAAGCAGAGCTGCCAGAAACTTCCCCAGATTGTTGTGAGGAGGGTGGAGGGTGCTGGTGATCTCCATTTGCCCCTCCTGGTCCCCCAGCACTCTCCATACTGCTAACATGCTGAGCCATGTGGGCTGCATCCACCTGGCCTTTGCCTTCTAGCTGGGCTCTGCCAGTGGGAGGCATTTGAAGGACTTAGTGTGATAATAAAAATATAGAACTAACTGTTATCCAGGTAAAGAGAAATCTAACCAAATCTCCAAAGGCCATTTGTCGAAGATCCTGCTTTAAATGATTTTCAACCCGGAAGGGATCTGAGAAATCATCTGGGTCTGTAGTTCCAAACATGGCAACACATGACAGTCACCTGTTTAAAAATACAGACCCCTGATCAACTTAAGTATCCATCAACAGATTAAGGGATAAAAAAATGTGGTATATAAACAATGGTCATTTTAAAAAATGAAATCCTGTCACTTGAGGCAACATGGATGAGCCTGGAGGACATTCTGTTAAGTGAAATAAGTCAGGCACAGAAAGACAAACGTCACATGTGTCGCTCATATGTGGAAGCTAAAAGGACTAATTTCCTAAAGTAGAGAGTAAAATGGATGTTTCTAGAGGCTGAGAAGGGTGGGGAGGGGATGAGAGAGGTAGTTATGTTAACCATTCAGGGCTACAGTTGAATAACAGAAATAACTTTTAATGTTCTATAACACAGTTGTATAACTATGGTTGACAATGATTAATTACCTATTTCAAAATAGCTAGTACTGAGGATTTTTTTTAAGAGAGAGAGAGAGAGAGAGAGAGAGAATTTTTTTAATATTTATTTTTTAGTATTCGGCAGACACAACATCTTTGTTTGTATGTGGTGCTGAGGATCAAACCCAGGCCGCGCGCATGCCAGGCGAGCGTGCTACCGCTTGAGCCACATCTCCAGCCCAAGTACTGAGGATTTTGAATATTTTCAACACAAAGAAATGATGAATGTTTGAAGGAATGGATATGTTAATCATCCTGATTTGATCATTATTAAATTAATATGTATTAAGTGCATGTATCAAACTACCATACTATGCCTTATAAATATATATAATTATTAAATGTTAATTAAAAGAATTAAAATCCACACCTTACTTCAATTTATCTGCTATTCAAAAAAGAACAGTTTCCTGGGTTCCATCTTGAATAAGATTAGCCTCTGCAAGAGTGCGGCCAGCGGCCTGGGTTCTCAGCGTGCTCCCTGGGTGATTCCCAGGCAGCCTGTGGCCCATCATCTGATTCAAACTGCCCAATGCCCTTTCCTCTAGGTATAAGGGATTCCTCACTGAGGGGAGCAGACCACTGACTCTAACTCCAAATTAACCAAATTACGGCTAGTAATGGACTTGGGGGGGTGTAGTTTATGGGGAGCCTAATCCAGTTCTTCTTTATTCCATTCCTGAATGTCTAGAATAATACCTGGCACAGAGTGGGCACTCAGTGGGTATTTGTGTGGATGGATGAATGAATCTCCTCACTGCTTTGGTCCTGTCCTGGTTAGATCCCTGCCTCCTTTGTCTCCTCTCAAGTGGGGCAGGAGCTGGAGACCTGGGACAAAGGGACAATAGATGGGTAAGTCATGGAAAACTCATGACTGTGGCTTCCTTTTTTTGTGTGTGTGTGCCTGTCTTTTTAAAATTTGATCTTTTTATTTTTTTATTTATATATAACAGCAGAATGCATTACAATTCTTATTACATATATAGAGCTCAATTTTTCCTATCTCTGGTTGTATACATAATATACTCACAACAATTCGTGTCTTCATACGTGTACTTTGGATAATAATAATCATCACATTCAACCATCATTAATTACCCCATGCCCCCTCCCTTCCCCTCCCGTCCCTCTGCCCTATCTAGAGTTCGTCTATTTCTCCCATGGTCCTGCTCCCTATCCCACTATGAATCAGCTTCCTTATATCAAAGAAAATATTCGGCATTTTGTTTTTTGGGATTGACTAACTTCACTTAGCATTATCTTCTCTAACTCCATCCATTTATCTGCAGATGCCATGATTTTATTCTCTTTTATTGCTGACTAATATTCCATTGTGTATGTATGCCACATTTTTTAAATTCATTCATTTATTGAAGGGCATCTAGGTTGGCTCCACAATTTAGCTTTCGTGAGTTATACTGCTATAAACATTGATGTGGCTGTGTCCCTGTCGTATGCTGTTTTTAAGTCCTTTGGGTATAGACTGAGGAGAGGGATTGCTGGGTCAAATGATGGCTCCATTCCCAATTTTCTAAGAAATCTCCATCCTGCTTTCCATATTGGCTGCACCAATTTGCAGTCCCACCAGCAGTGTATGAGTGTACCTTTTCCCCCACATCCTCGCCAGCACTTATTGTTGTTTGTGTGCATAATAGCTGCCATTCTGACTGGAGTGAGATGAACTCTTAGAGTGGTTTTGATTTGCATTTCCCTAATTGCTAGTGATGATGAACATTTTTTCATATGTTTATTGATTGATTGTACATCATCTTCTGAGAAGTGTTTCTTCAGGTCCTTGGCCCATTTATTGATTGGGTTATTTAGTTTTTTTCTTCTTTTTTTGGTATGTAGTTTTTTGAGTTCTTTATATACCCTAGTGATTAGTGCTCTATCTGATGTGTGAGGGGGAAAGATTTGCTCCCAAGATGTAGGCTATCTATTCACCTCATAGATTGTTTCTTTTGCTGAAAAGAAACTTTTTAGTTTGAGTCCATCCCATTTATTGATTCTTGATTTTAATTCTTGTGCCATAGGAGTCTTATTAAGGAAGTGACTGTGGTTTCTTTGTTTAGTAACTATTGGATGTTGGACATTTTTATTTAAAAATATATGGAGATTTCTTAAATGTATTTTTTTGTTATTAACTTAAACTTAACCACAGGATAATGCAAGAACCTTGTCCTTATGTTGCATCTTCTCTGATGTTTGTTTGTTTATACTTTTTTTGGGGGGGGGGTGAAGGGATTGAAGGGGCACTCAACCACTGAGCCACATCCCCAGCCCTATTTTGTATTTTATTTAGAGACAGGGTCTCAATGAGTTGCTTAGCACCTCGCTGTTGCTGAGGCTGGCTTTGAACTTGCGATCTTTCTGCCTCAGCCTCCTGAGCTGCTGGGACTACAGGCATGTACCACCGTTTCCATCTTCTTTGATGCTTACTGATGCTTGCTTTACTGCTGGCCATATGATCAACTTTTGTAAAGGTTTCACATCTGCTTTGATTAGATGCAGAATTTTATACAGCGCATGTTTGTTGCACATGTAGATTTTGCCATTCAAATCTATCATCTTTCCTTCTTTTGGGACTGGCTTAAAAATAACAAAGAGTGCTGTAGTTAAATTTGTAACTTTTCAATTTGTTTCTATTTTTTTAAATCTAATTTTCCCTCTAGGAAAATGAGGTTATGAGGTTAGGTGACGAGGTGCTTCCTTTGGGGAATTATTATCGTCTTGGTGAACTGAGTGAGTCTTTTCCTAATTTGTCCTGACAGTCTTTCCACCTTAAAGTCTGTCTTTAAGCTACATAGCTTTCTTGAGTTAGTATTTGTTTGCTTTGCATTTTTCTATCCTTTTGTTTTTATTCTTCCTGCACACTTATGCTTTAGAGGTAGCCCTTGTAATTATTATAAAGGCAGATTTTGTTTTTATTTAGTTACTTTTGTTTGGTACTGGGGATTGAACCCAGGGGTGCTTAACCACTGAGCCACATCCCCAGCCCTTTTTATTTTTTATTTTAGGACAGGGTCTTGATAAATTAGCTAGGTCCTTGCTAAGTTTTGGGAGGTTGCCTCTGAACTCATCATCCTCCTGCCTCAGCCTCTGGAGCTGCTGGGATTAGAGGCATGCACCCACCGTGCCCAGCCAGATTTTGTTTTTAATTCAAACTGATCATCTCTGACTTGTGCTTGGGGATTTAATCAATCCATATATTAGTCAAAGTGAGCAAACTTGCTTCTTCAACAACCCTGGAGTTTCAGTGGTTTAACAAAACTCAGATTTATATATATATATATTTTTTTAAAAATATTTATTGTTTAGTTTTCGGAAGACACAACATCTTTGTTTGTATGTGGTGCTGAGGATCGAACCCGGGCCGCACGCATGCTAGGCGAGCGCGCTACCGCTTGAGCCACATCCCCAGCCCCAGATTTATATTTTTAACCTATGTGCAGTTCAGTGGAGCTGTAGCTCTGTGTCTCCCCTCCACAAAGTGCCTCATGCACCTAGGTTAGCTCCAGCTTGCACCTTCAGGATTTTCAAGAACTTTGCTTCTAGCCTTGCAGGTAGGAGAGAGGGACTGGCAAAGGCAAATCTATTCCTAAGGCTTTGGACCAAAAGTCATGTGCCTTCTCTGCTCCAATTCTGTTATATCCTGGCAAGAAATAAACGATGACCCCACCACGGGGCACAGGTGCTGCTGGAAGCATGCATATCAGCTGTGTGATGGCTTGGTGAGCTCACAGCACTGTCTTTGCCCACTCCCATTACACTTATTGTGATTACTGACATATTTGGAGTTCTAATACTTTTTTTATTTTGATATTTCTGTTTTCTAAATTTCCTTTTTAGTTTGTAGTTTTATTAACTGTATCTTCCCAATCTTCTGTATAAGCAGATAAGAAATTTAGCATGCTCTCAAATCCATTTACGTACTTTCTTTCTCCTTCAACAAAGTATTTGGTCTACTTTACTCCCGAAATTTTTTGTCTGATTGTAATATTGCCTCCAA